TGGAGCAAGCGACCTCGTGAGTTTTGATATAAGGGAATGCGTGGGCCACTAAGACGGGCATTGGAGTCCCCCATTAGAACAACGGAGCCCTCCAAAGAGAAACTAGTGCACAAATCATCAAGTCTATCGACATAGTCTGTAAAAATGTCAATACCATAGCGAGACTTAGGAAGATACACCTGGATCAGAAAGAAACGCCATTGTTTGTGATAAGTTTAATAATAGCTATTCTGTCGTCATCAGACTCGACCACTGTAACACGACAGGATAGTCTTCTATGCCATAATATTGCAACGCCACCTTTGCGCGACCGTCGCTCCGCACATGGATGTAATGAAAAATCTGAGATGACGAACGCATCATAGTCTCTGTGAATGCTCTGAAAGAGGTGCCTATTCTCTTCGAAGAGCCAGTGCTCGGAGATACCACAAAGGTCTATGTGTTCTTTATTAAGAGCGTCATGTACGTGGGAAGCAGCCGACATAATGCCGGTTACGTTCCAGGACAATATCCTCACATTCATCAGCACCGGTAAAGTAAAGTACAATAGGAGGTAGAATGAAGTACTAATCACAATTATCAGTGTCTGCCTGCGTATTTTCTGTGTAACCATGGAATCGGTTATTAGACAGCGGATGCCTTTTGGCCAAAATCCTGTTACCTTTGTCTTCGGAACATCAGCGGAGATTACGTTGATGCGGGCAGAGACAGAATATTTCCGCTTGCTTTTAAGCAAACGAACAAACGTGACCTTGACATCTCGAGATTCCAGAAATGATCTGATGTCGTCAGCAGAGCATCTTTCCGACGACATTCCACTGAGAAAGAGACGAGTAGTTTTATTCCGTGTCACAGCGACGAATCCACTTGAGGTTGCAGAGTGAGCTGGATCTGCAGACTGCCTGTCAACATCGGTAGGTAGAGGACGGCTGGCAACCTGAACTCGTTTTAACGACGGTTGTGGTCCCACCACCTCTGGGTGGGAGTGCTTGGAAAATGCAGAATGCTGGGAGAGTTGAACAGGGCATTCTGGAGGACGTGGGGACAACTCACGCTTAGGAACATCCCTAGGAGGATCACTTGAACGCGGTATTCTATGAGAGTTATCGTAGTGAACAGGCAATGAATCGGGGATGTTCTTGGAAGACTTCTGAACAGAATTTGCAACAAAATCTTCCATAGAGGTCAGCTGCGTACTGAGTTCCTGTGCAAAAGCTTGGACCGCATTATCTGTAGATTGCTTTGCTTTCTGAGAAACCTCTTTGATATCAATTTCAACTTGCCGGATTCGAGGTTTCAGAGAGGAAATGCTATCAATGCTATCAAAGTGCGTGATATAGCTTCGCCGAGATCGTGCTCTAGCACGGACATTTTCCCGTTAATCGTTCTAATGTCATTGTGAAGGGAAGTGGCACTGCCAAAGCGTGATGTAGCTTTGCCGAGATCGTGCTCTAGCACGGACATTTTCCCGTTAATCGTTCTAATGTCATTGTGAAGGGAAGTGGCACTGCCAAAGCGGTCATCATTTAGACGAGAGATTCCAAGACTGTTGTCTTCAATCGACTTGGAAATACTAGAAATCTCAGAGGTGACTGAATTTCGAGACTTGTCTAGAGCTGATACCTTTGACGCAACAACCAGAAGACTTTCAGGGAGTTCTACGTTAGACTTAGAAGATTTCGTAAACTTCCCTACGTCAAGGACTTTAGTAATTGAGTCACAAGCCTGGCAAAGTTGGGCCTTGATGCTGGAAATGTCTTGGGCAAAGCCCTTTTGTGTCTCAATCACAGAGTCAATTCGATTTTTCGAAGATTCTCTTGATTCATGAAGCAATGCTCAAAGGCTGGTCATTTCAACCTTTAAGAACTCGATATCAGAGTGCTTCGCTAAGGGACAGTCTTCCAAGTTATTTAAAGTTACATTCATACTAGATGTGTCCAGATTAGGGGTGCACCCGCAACATTGAGACGATGAAAAAATATCGGACTCTGACACCGACTCGCCATCTAGAAATTGTTGTAATGCATGACAATCTTTAGCATACTTCTCTTGGGCTGAGCTCTTTGTAGTAGTTTTGCGTGTCACAAGACGTGACACAGGACAACAGTCAATGTCCTTCGCGCGATCATAAAGAATGGCTCGATACCATGAAATTTTGCTTTCCGTGTTCCCGGCAATTTCAAAGAGTTTCGAAACATATTCTGTTTTCGGAAGGCTGAACAGGGCACTGTCAAACGACGATTCTGAAGAAAAAGTATTTTTAGATGGCTCAGTTCCTGCAGCCATGATAATTACAACAAATTTCACAACACATTCAATAGTAAACGTAGGTCAATGGCTAATAGTGGGGAGTATGAATTATCCACCGTGCGCCTTTACAGGTTACAACTTTGTGTGTGGTCAGCAGAACATGACGAAGTTTTGGCGATGACCGTACTTGTACATACAGGTAGAGTTCGTGTGTATATATATATATATATATATATATATATAAATAGCAACATGAAGCGATGAATGTTGAGTGGTTCTAAAGTCACATTTTCAAAGCCAATCTTACAAAATTCAGAATACCAGACAGTTTCACATCCCACTCGAGGGTCACCAGAAGTCAAAAGTCTTACTGCTAACAACAGATTCTGGAGAAAAACTCCTCGGAATCAAGATGAAATGAAAACACCGCCATACCAGGGGAGATCACTCTTACCAGTTCACGGAGAGATCTGGGGGCTGGAAATCTCCAGCAGTTTACATGTTGTTATCTATGACAGACAGTAACTTAACCCACGGAGAGATCTGGCGGCTGGAAATCTCCAGCAGTTTACATGTTGTTATCTATGACAGACAGTAACTTAACCCACGGAGAGATCTGGCGGCCGGAAATCTCCATGTTTTGATCAACTACTGAGAAAATATATATCAACGGAGAGATCTGGGTGCCAGAAATCTCCATCAGTTTTACAAGTTGTTATCTATGACAGACAGTATGTATATCCACGGAGAGATCTGGCGGCCGGAAATCTCCATGTTTTGATCAACGACTGAGAATATATATATCCAAGGAGAGATCCGGGGGCTGGGAATCTCCATTAGTTTTACAAGTTGTTATCTATGACAGACGGTAACTTAACCCACGGAGAGATCTGGGGCTGGAAATCTCCAGCAGTTTACATGCTGTTATCTATGACAGACGGTAACTTAACCCACGGAGAGATCTGGGGGCTGGAATTCTACAGCAGTTTACATGTTGTTATCTATGACAGATGGTAACTTAACCCACGGAGAGATCTGGGGGCTGGAAATCTATAGCAGTTTTACAAGTTGTTATCTATGACAGACAGTATGTATATCCACGGAGAGATCTGGGTGCCGAAAATCTCCATGTTTTGATCAACGACTGAGAATATGTATATCCACGGAGAGATCCGCAGGCTGAAAATCTACAGCAGTTTACATGATGTTCTCCATGACAGACAGTATATATATATATCCACGGAGAGTTCTGGGGGCCTGAAATCTCCATCAGCTAACATGTTGTTATACTTGACAGACAGTTTATATATCCAAGGAGAGATCTGGGGGCTCACGAGTGATATTTCCCTCCACGCAACAAACAAGGGCGATTCGCACACGAGTGATATTTCCCTCCACGCAACAAACGAGGGCGATCCGACTCGTCAGATCAATACACAAGGATGTTTTTTTTATTTCATCACATACTTTTATCATTCTAAAATTTCTATTTATTTGAAATAAAATTACAGCTTTAGTAGCCACGGCATAGTTTTGGTTTTTTTTCAACCAGTTGAGTTCGACGGACAGGACAAAATTCTCCTTACATCCAAATCAATTATTTGATTTTTAACGCATACTGCAACTAAAACTACTGCCGTTTAGCGACAGCAAATGTTCATATAGACTATTTCAATATAATTATAGTAAATAAATAAGCAAACACACCATTTATTAATTACATTCTATAATATTATTTTTCCCAAATGTACAAATTCTCCACAGATACACTGTAGTGTAGTCGCGACATTGACGTCATGATCATAGCACGTGCAGGTATTCGTCGCGCGCAAGTCTCTGTTCATTCATAAAAAAGTAGTTCCGGCTACTGTGGCGATACAACACCTTGCATCACACTTGTGCGATACAAGTCGACAGAAAATATGCACAGAAAATTGTTGTATTTATATAGTAAGTCTACACAAGTATGTGATAAAGTGTTTTACCTTGTTATACGCCGTCAAGGAATCTTAGTAGATACAGCGTTTTACCTTGTTATACGCCGTCAAGGAATCTTAGTAGATACAGTGTTTTACCTTGTTATACGATGTCAAGGAATCTTAGTAGATACAGTGTTTTACCTTGTTATACGCCGCCAAGGAATCATAGTAGATAGAGTGTTTTACCTTGTTATACGCTGTCAAGGAATCTTAGTAGATAGAGTGTTTTACCTCGTTATACGCCGTCAAGGAATCTTAGTAGATACAGTGTTTTACCTCGTTATACGCCGTCAAGGAATCTTAGTAGATACAGTGTTTTACCTTATTATACGCCGTCAAGGAATCTTAGTAGATACAGTGTTTTACCTTGTTATACGCCGTCAAGGAATCTTAGTAGATACAGTGTTTTACCTTGTTATACGCCGTCAAGGAATCTTAGTAGATACAGTGTTTTACCTTGTTATACGCCGTCAAGGAATCTTAGTAGATACAGTGTTTTACCTTGTTATACGCCGTCAAGGAATCTTAGTAGATACAGTGTTTTACCTTATTATACGCCGTCAAGGAATCTTAGTAGATACAGTGTTTTACCTTGATATACGCCGTCAAGGAATCTTAGTAGATACAGTGTTTTACCTTGTTATACGCCGTCAAGGAATCTTAGTAGATACAGTGTTTTACCTTGTTATACGCCGTCAAGGAATCTTAGTAGATACAGTGTTTTACCTTGTTATACGCCGTCAAGGAATCATAGTAGATACAGTGTTTTACCTTGTTACACTCCGTCATGAAATCTTGGTAGATATTTTTTAACAACATCTCGATAGTTCTTTCCCTCTTCTGAGCAAAAAGTGGATTATTCACAGCTGCTTTTTCTCCGTTGATTACTAAAATATGAAATAGCTATAAATAAATACATAGATAGATGAAAACCACAGTACATTAGAATTTAGTGTTTGATTTGGTTAGTTTGTATACGGGTAAATGTAATAACCACCAATGTCCTCTCAATGTACAGCGAGACAAGCTGCAGGAAGTAAATGGCCTCATTCGCGAATAATTGTATGCAAATTACCGCTGATTTGCTCTCCTGTTGTAGGTAACATAAATACCAATATGATATCTATATGCAAGTTGTTAAGTACCGATGTGCTATTCAAGCATCTAAGAGTTATCTATCTATGTATAAGTAAAGTTTATCTACATGCATGTGAAGGTAAATATCCGCGCTTGTATTACCTTCATGCAGTCAATTCCAATGAATTTTCTACATATAGGTAAATAAGCGTTATGTGTATTTTCAGAAGATTTTGTATAGGTAACACCTTAGTTATCCACGTATAGGTGGATAATCAACCATGTATAGCTTAAATATAGTTAAATATAGTTAAATATGTCCCCTTGTTTAATTTACATATAAATAGATAAGCACCAGATTGAAGCCTTATGAAAATAAATGTTTTTATGTTATGTACGTGATGGTAAATAAGCGCTCATCCGTTATCTGTGGTAATTAATGTGCCTACCGACTTGTGGGTTAATCAGCGCCAATATTTATCTACGTGTCGGTAAATAAGCATGCATGTGATATCTTCGCAAGGCTGCAGTAGAACGCGTGAATTTTCTGCTTGCATGCGTCGTCTGTTGTAGATAAACAAGAGTCTGTGAAATACGACCGATGAACAAGAGTGAATATAAGAACAAATTTTGTTTGTTTGTTTGTTTGTTTGTTTTTTCTATGTTTTGATAAGTAATCCTCTTCTGTATCATTTATGTGTTAATAAATAATCGCCAATCTAATATTGACGTATATGTTTACACAAGGTTTCACATCAGCGCCAACTTACTTTTTCATGTCGGTCGTAAGAATATAAAAAAAATATATAACTATTTTGTATTATCCAGTTACGATGAGAAGACGACTGTGTGTATCTACAATAAATTAATTGATATTATATATACTAACACTTAACGAGAAGAAAATCTCTGAATTCTTGATGGTCATAAAACACCGGTGGTGATGGCAATGGAGGTCCGAATAATGGCACAGACTCCTCGGAGTAGACGTGTAAGCTGAAATTATCCAAAATAAGGCAAGTTAACAACAATCCATCTTTTAGTTTGAATACCTGCCTTTACATAAAATTACATTGTGCTAATCGAAGCTTATGTCAAAAGAATAACGACTTGATAGGCAATCCCTAACCCTAAAACAGATAAATGCATAGAAATCCAGTATATAACCGCTTGTTTACCTGCTGCCAGCATGTTGCCATGTACACAAGGGAGTTTGGAGACATTTGTGTTATAACACAGGCAACTTTACAAGGTATTTAAAGTTATATCTTTTGTTTCAATGCGTATAAATGCAAAAACATTTACAATGCAGCTTCTACTTCGATCAATATTTATGATGAACTTTTGTATTATTTATGTGTTCATAATTAAGGTAAAGAGATAAAACGATTTTGGAACGGCGAATCATTTCCATAAATTTGAATACAGAACCATGAATTGACTCGTACTTCTTTCCGTCAATAAAGTTTCGGGTTATGTTCCACTACATTATTTGTTTCGGAAAAAAAAAACATTTTCAGTGATTAGAGTACAAGATCATAAACAAACCTACCAAGGTTTTATATTCTGGAATGTAAGTGAAACGTTCTGGCATTTTATCTGTTGTGAAGCGAGTGGTGATTCGGTCCACTGCATCACTCTACAACACTCGGTCGGAAGCTATCCAAATGTTAATGCCTGAGTAACGTTACTCGACATGAATGGTATATTCCATGCCAAATGATTTCTTGTGAACGTACAAACAACAACAATACGAGTTTGTGACCATATATTATAAAGAATTTTGTTTGAAGGAAGGTTTGAATGTCAACTAAATCAGATTGAACTACAAGGGGCCGTGTAGGTAGACGCGACATCCAAATATGGTAAGTGTATTCATGTCTACTCTGGGTTTTAACAACTAAGCATTCATATTCGTTTTTTAAATACGTGATATGTTAACAGTGTGAATGTAAACTTTCAGTGTATTTCTTTATATGTAAATATTGTACATTAGGCCTCCTGTTCACAGAGTGATCATTGCTAGGGAAAAACTCGGTTCATACATTAAGCCCTGCCGATTATGTTTATAATGTAAACCATTTGATTTCAAACTGAACAAATGAAAGTATTTTGTGTTTTGTGATTTAAATATTAACTAAATTGCTAATTAACATTTTTTGTGGAATACGCTTTCTAAACTTTGCTATTTGTTATCTTATGACGAGATGTTTTATCTGTGTTATAATATAATGCGGTTTGTAAACCTTATTAAGTGATGGAGTTTTGAATCTATGTTACATTTGATTTTGATGTAACAAGATTTAAACGGTGGAGTGCAGTGTTTAATTCTTGTTAACAAGTTTTACATCCACTATTACGGCCTTTCAGCGAACGAGCTGATGTATGCAGTATGATACGGTTGCAGTGAACGTTAATATTCTTGTGCAAGTATATATTTGATGTTGTATGGACATTTATGTCTTAACCCCTTTTTTGGAAAACTTTTGTTTTCATTTCTTGGAATACAATGTTCTTAAAGACTCTTTGAGGACATGGTAAAGGGTTGTGTTTACTGCTTCTTCCGACGAAATATAAAACGTCGGAAGAAGCCAGGCAGCAAGCTTAAGCAGTTCTCAGATAAGAAATCAATACTCACCCATAGGAAAAACGTGTTTACGCTAATATACTATCACTTGCTAGATACAACTTACCGATAGGTATCATCCTCTTTAATGTAGGTCACTAAAGCAAAGATGTCTGGTGGGAGAGTTAAGGCAAATTCATTCAAAACAAAACTATGACTATCTTCCTGTAGCAGAAGAAGGTCCATACGCTTGTCGGTCACCTAAAATTATAGTATACGAGAGCTTGGTAAGGATACGAAAGAGCAAATTCTTTACTCGATGCAAATTTATCGATATCAGTGGATAACCGTGTCATTTCTATAGCTACATGTTTTTGCTCGATAGGGATCAAAACACATTACCAGATTCTAATTAACCAGAATATACTTCTTCTTCACTAATTGCAATACTGGTCAAATTTGCTAAAAATCGATCTTATACTTTAAAAAAGCGGTAAAAATAAAACAACAACGCTAAATGTAAAAAACATGACATGCACATCTTTCTCGTCAGATAATCGTGTGTTATGAAAAACAAACTAAGATATAAAGAATTACAATGATTTCTATCGTTTAAATACAACATATGCTAAAGTAATTCTGAGGACTAAGTAAATCTTACAAATGATGAAAATCAGCATGCATGTACTCATCTAAATCAATTGTATGACTGGTGGAAAACAGCTTCAACGTATACACATCAGTACATCTTACAAGTAACAAAAAAGAAATCTGTCTATATGTACACACCTGGATCATAAATTCAATGTAGCCTATATGCAACCAGATCAATTAAACGACCAACGGAAAACATGAATGTATGCACACCAAGAGAGCAATCTTTCTTTGTTTGTATAAAATAACGAAGAGATAAACAGATATAACATGCTTGGCATCATTAGAATATAATAGATGGGATCGAAATATATCCTGTCATGAGATTAACGTTACGCATTTGAGCAGGAGAAAGGATACGTGTGAAGCGAGTTTTCATCATGGATGGTTTGAAACTTGCAGATGAAGAGGTTTCACATTCATAAAATATAATATTTACAATATCGTTTCCAATGTGGCGCTTCCTTTCCACCTATAATAGAAACAAGGACATTAAATATCATCTAGAAAACCAATCTTCATTTTGACGGGATGGAAAAAAGATTATAGAAGAAATACGCAAGATGGTAACAATGCACTGTAAGAACGAGTGGGGTTTTGTAAAGATTCGGTTAAGAAGATGTACATTAGGGTATGTCGTTTTATACATCGCACACTAAGGTTAATCCTTTGATACATCGTACACTAGGGTTTATCCTTTGATACATCGTACACTAGGGTTTATCCTTCGATACATCGTACACTAGGGATATTTTGTCTAATACATCGTACACTAGGGATTATTTTGTTAAATACATCGCACACTAGGGTTTATCCTTTGATACATCGTACACTAGGGATATTTTGTCTAATACATCGTACACTAGGGATTATTTTGTTAAATACATCGCACACTAAGGTTAATCCTTTGATACATCGTACACTAGGGTTTATCCTTTGATACATCGTACACTAGGGATTATTTTGTCTAATACATCGTACACTAGGGATATTTTGTCTAATACATCGTACACTAGGGATATTTTGTCTAATACATCGTACACTAGGGATTATTTTGTTAAATACATCGCACACTAAGGTTAATCCTTTGATACATCGTACACTAGGGTTTATCCTTTGATACATCGTACACTAGGGTTTATCCTTCGATACATCGTACACTAGGGATATTTTGTCTAATACATCGTACACTAGGGATTATTTTGTTAAATACATCGCACACTAGGGTTTATCCTTTGATACATCGTACACTAGGGATATTTTGTCTAATACATCGTACACTAGGGATTATTTTGTTAAATACATCGCACACTAAGGTTAATCCTTTGATACATCGTACACTAGGGTTTATCCTTTGATACATCGTACACTAGGGATTATTTTGTCTAATACATCGTACACTAGGGATATTTTGTCTAATACATCGTACACTAGGGATATTTTGTCTAATACATCGTACACTAGGGATTATTTTGTTAAATACATCGCACACTAGGGTTTATCCTTTGATACATCGTACACTAGGGATATTTTGTCTAATACATCGTATACTAGGGATTATTTTGTTAAATACATCGTACACTAGGGATATTTTGTCTAATACATCGTACACTAGGGATTATTTTGTTAAATACATCGCACACTAAGGTTAATCCTTTGATACATCGTACACTAGGGTTTATCCTTTGATACATCGTACACTAGGGTTTATCCTTTGATACATCGTACACTAGGGATTATTTTGTCTAATACATCGTACACTAGGGATTATTTTGTTAAATACATCGCACACTAAGGTTAATCCTTTGATACATCGTACACTAGGGTTTATCCTTTGATACATCGTACACTAGGGTTTATCCTTTGATACATCGTACACTAGGGATTATTTTGTCTAATACATCGTACACTAGGGATTATTTTGTTAAATACATCGCACACTAAGGTTAATCCTTTGATACATCGTACACTAGGGTTTATCCTTTGATACATCGTACACTAGGAATTATTTTGTCTAATACATCGTACACTAGGGATTATTTTGTTAAATACATCGCACACTAAGGTTAATCCTTTGATACATCGTACACTAGGGATATTTTGTCTAATACATCGTATACTAGGGATTATTTTGTCTAATACATCGTACACTAGGGATATTTTGTCTAATACATCGTACACTAGGGATATTTTGTCTAATACATCGTGCACTAGGGATTTTTTGTCTAATACATCGTACACAATGGCATGTCGTTAAATACATCGTCTCTCTTTATGATGGTTCTGAAGACGGAAAACATTAAAAAATATGATAAACTTGCCTGCTGTTTGTTCTCCTTGGAATGTGGTAGTAGTGTGGATGCGTGAAACATGATTTCATGGCCCTCATACACGGTATATACAGATTCGTCTCCTGTGGAATCAGCTATTAAACACAAATAATTACTTGTCACTATATGAATTATGTAATTTTGCGACATCAGCATGTCTACGGACAAGTCGAGGAACGTAAACAAATACACACAGGTTGGACAGCAAAGGTTTATACTGATGTACACACAGGCTGGACAGCAAGACCGCAAAAGTTTATACTGATGTACACGCAGGTTGGACAGCAAAACAGCAAAGGTTTATACTAATGTACACGCAGGTTGGACAGCAAAGGTTTATACTGACGTACACACAGGTTGGACAGCAAAACAGCAAATGTTTATGCTGATGTACACGCAGGTTAGACAGCAAGACAGCAAAGGCTTATACTGACGTACACACAGCTTGGACAGCAAGACAGCAAAGGTTTATACTGATGTACACACAGAATGGACAGCAAAACAGCAAAGGTTTATACTGATGTACACACAGGTTGGACAGCAAGACAGCAAAGGTTTATACTGATGTACACACAGAATGGACAGTAAAACAGCAAAGGTGTATACTGATGTACACACAGGTTGGACAGCAAGACAGCAAAGGTTTATACTGATGTACACACAGAATGGACAGCAAAACAGCAAAGGTTTATACTGATGTACACGCAGGTTGGACAACAAGACAGGAAAGGTTTATACTGATGTGCACACAAGTTGGACAGCAAAGGTTTATATTGATGTACACACAGGTTGGGCAGCAAGACAGGAAAGGTTTATACTGATGTGCACACAAGTTTGACAGCAAAGGTTTATATTGATGTGCACGCAGGTTGGACAGCAAGACAGCAAAGATTTATACTGATGTACACACAGGTTGGACAGCAAGACTGCAAAGGTTTATACTGATGTACACGCAGGTTGGACAGCAAGACTGCAAAGGTTTATACTGATGTACACACAGGTTGGACAGCAAGACAGGAAAGGTTTATACTGATGTGCACACAGGTTGGTCAGCAAAGGTTTATACTGATGTACACACAGGTTGGACAGCAAATGTTTATACTGATGTACACACAGGTAGGGCAGCAAGACAGCAAATGTTTATACTGATGTACACACAGGTTGGACAGCAAGACAGGAAAGGTTCATACTGATGTACGAACATGTTGGACAGCAAAGGTTTATACTGATGTACACACAGGTTGGACAGCAAAACAGCAAAGGTTTATACTAATGTACACACAGGTTGGACAGCAAGACAGCAAAGGTTTATACTGATGTACACACAGGTTGGACAGCAAATGTTTATATTGATGTACAGGCAGGTTGGAAAGCAAGACAGCAAAGGTTTATACTGATGTACACACAGGTTGGTCAGCAAAGGTTTATACTGATGTACACACAGGTTAGAGAGCAAGACACACAGGTTTATACTGATGTACACACAGGTTGGACAGCAAGACAGCAAAGGTTTATAATGATGTACACACAGGTTGGAAAGCAAGACAGCAAAGGTTAATACTGATGATGTCTTTAATGGGAAAAAAAATGCATGACGCTTTCAGAACTTATTACTACCGACATAAACGAAACTCGATATCATTTACCATATGGTGAAAACTTGCGCTGAATTGTGTTACACACTTGTACTTGTATTATATATATAGACATGTGAAGATATGACAATATTGACAGTAAAAACAAAACAAATATGTTTCCACTCACTAGATATAAAACTGCAGGACAATAAGTTTAGATAATCCAAAGACTCTAGAGACATTGGCAGTACATATACATCAATTGAGAAAAACTGCCGTTGCATGATGGACTAGAAATGTGGAAAATGCAATGTTCAACAAATATAGCCTGCGCGTATCCGATATGACAATTGCTAGACTGTTAAGATAAAGTATTCTATCAAGCGATCTCAGTTTTTATAATTGTGACCCTATTATGTGCATAACAATCATCGCAAAGGACGCTCAACGGAATTACATAGTAAACATACATTATCATCAATATCTAACACATTATGTACCTGTTTGCATATCTCTGTGCCAGATATAGCATAGGTACAGAGGTCAAATACGTGTGTTAGAAATATGGTCAACTGTCACTTCCCTCAAACTTTTAAAACGTTATTGATAGCAGTAACATATCAGTTATATTATTACCATCTCCTTACATTTAACATCCAGTCCTGCCTTGAACTTCCCCCATCCTTTTAATTTTACTCTTTCTCCGAGGAGTCTAAGAAATTTCTCAAAGGCCGCATTTCCCTGCTCTACAACAAACAGAAAGACAGATTAATTTTGTATGTAACACGACACTGACAAAAGACGTGAGGACATACTCGGTATTGCTAAAACTGTTGATGACAGAAGACCTACCATTACTGTAGAATTCGTCGTCACAGGCTTGTCCCTCTTCGGCATAAACTACTCCGAACTTGAAATTCACCGAACCCTTAAGTATAAAAAACAATTAAATTATCAGCATTTTCTGTTAAACGAATGAATATAAATATCGGTTTTGATTAATCATTTATGCAAAACATAATTCTACTGATGCAAATTATGTTTGGAATTTTATTATTTATATATGCAATAGCATTTTTTCATTCATTTTTTTAAACTTGGTAAGGGCGCCAAGACGTGTTTTACACCTGTAAGGGCGCCAAGACATTTTTAACACCTGGTAAGGGCGCAAAGACATATTTTACACCTGGTGAGGGCGCCAAGACATTTTTTACACCTGATAGGGCGCCAAGACATTTTTTTAAAACTTGGTAAGGGCGCCAAGACGTGTTTTACACCTGTGAGGGCGCCAAGACATTTTTAACACCTGGTAAGGGCGCCAAGGCATTTTTTACACCTGGTAAGGGTGCAAAGACATTTCTTACACTAGGTAAGGGAGCCAAGACATTTTATACTTCTCATAAGGACGCCAAGACATTTTTTACACTTAATAAGGACGCCAACACACTTTTTACACTTGATAAAGGCAACAAAACATTTTTTTACACTTGATAAGGGCGCCAAGACATTTTACACCTGATTAGGGCGCCAAGATATTTTCTACACCTGGTAAGTCTGATGTATTCCGATGTTCATCCTGAGACTGATTGATTCCGATGTTCATCCTGACACTGATGGATTCTGATCTTCATTTTCCAACTGATTTATTCCGATGTTCATCCACAAAATGATGTATTTAAATGTTCACTCTCAGAGTGATGTATTCCGATGTCCATTTTAAGCCTAATGGATTCCGATGTACTTCCTCAGTCTGATGGATTCCGAACTTCAACCTCCACCTGAGGGACTCCGATGTTCATCCTCCACCTGATGGAATCCGATGTTCATCCTCCAACTGATATATTCCGATGTTCATCCTCCACCTGATGTATTTCGATGTCAATTCTCCATCTGATGTATTCCGATCTTCATCCTCCACCTGATGGATTCCTATATTCATCCTCCACCTAATGTATTCCGATGTCCATCCCCCACCTGATGTATTTCGATGTCAATTCTCCATCTGATGTATTCCGATCTTCATCCTCCACCTGATGGATTCCGATATTCATCCTCCACCTAGTGTATCCCGATGTTCATCCTCGCACTGATGGATTCCGAAGTTCTTCCTCCACCTGATGTATTCCGATGTTCATCCTCTACCTGATGTATTCCGATGTTCATCTTCCACCTGATGTATTCCGAAGTTCATCCTCAGATGGTTGGATTCCGATGTTCATCCTCAACCTGATGTTTTCTGATGTTCATCCTTAGTCTGATGGATTTAAATGTTCACCCTCAACCTGATGTATACCGATGTTCATCCTGACACTGATGTGTTCCGATGTTCATCCTCCATCTGATGTATTTCGATCTTCATCCTCCACCTGATGTATTACGATGTTAGTCCTCCACCTGATGAATTCTGATGTACATCCTCAGCCTGACGGTTCATATGTTCATCCTCCACCTTATGTATTCATATGTCCATCCTCAACCTGATGGATTCCGATGTTCATACTCAGACTGACAGATTCCTACGAATGATGAACTCCGATGTCAATCCTTAATCTGATGTATTCCAATGTTCTTCATTCACCTGATGTTATCCGATGTTCATACTCCACCTGATGGATTCCTATGTTAACCCTTTAACCTAATGGATTTTGCTATTCATCATCAGCTTGATGTATTCCGATGTTCATTCTAAGTTTGATGGATTCCGATGTTCATTTTTAGCCTGATGTATTCCGCTGTCCATCATCAGTCTGATGGATGCCGATGTTCATTCTCCACCTGATGGATTCCGATGTTCATCCTCAGCCTGACAGATTCAGATGTTCCTCCTCCACCTGATGTATTACGATGTTCATCCTCCACCTGATGCATTCCGATATCAATCCTTAACCTAATGGATTTTAAGGTTCATCCTCCTTATGATCAATTCCGATGTTCATCCTCCACCTGATGTATTACAATGTTCATCCTTCATCTGATGAATTTCAATGTTCATCCTCCACCTGATGGATTCCGATGTTCATCCTCCACGTGATGTATTTCGGTGTTCATCCTCAGAGTGATGGATTCCGATATTAATCTTTAACCTAATAGATTTCGATGTTCATCCTCAGTCTGACGGATTCGGATCTTCATCGTCAGACTGATGTATTCCGATGTTCATCCTCCACCTCAGGTATTACGATTTTTATCCTCCACCTGTTGTATTCAGGTGTTCATCCTCCACCTAAAGGATTACGATGCTAGTCCTCCAACTGATGGACTCCGATATTCATCCTTAACCTCATGAATTTTGAGGTTCATCCTCAGCCTGACGATTTATATGTTCATCCTCCACCTTATGTATTCATATGTCCATCCTTCACCTGATGGATTCCGATGTTCATACTCAGACTGCTTGATACCGATGTTCATCCTCAGACTGATGGATTCTGATGTACATCCTTAGTGTGATTGATTCCGATGTTCATCCCCAAACTGATGTATTCTAATGTTCATCTTCATTCTGATGTATTCCGAGGTCCATCCTCCACCTGATGTATTTCAATGTTCATCCTCCATCTGATGGATTCCAATGTTCATCCTCCACCTGATGTATTCCAATGTTCATCATCAGAGTGATGTATTCCGATGTTCATCCTCCACCTGATGTATTACGATGTAAGTCCTCCACCTGATGGATTCCTATATTCATCTTTAACCTCATGGATTTCGAGGTTCATCCTCAGCCTGACGGATTCATATGTTCATCCGCCATCTGATGTATTCATATGCCCATCCTCAACCTGATGGATTCCGATTTTCTTCTTCAGACTGATGTAGTCCGATGTCCAACCTCAACCTGATGTACTCCGATGTCCAACCTCAACCTGATGTACTCCGATGTCCAACCTCTACCTGATGTATTCCGATTTTCATCCTCAGAGTGATGTATTCCGATGTTCATCCCCCACCTGATTAATTCCGATGTTCATCTCCAGTCTGATGCATTCCGATGTTCATTCCCCACCTGATGTATTCTGATGTACATCCTCAGTGTGATGGATTCCCATGTTCATCCTTAACTTCATGGATTTCGATATTCATCCTCCACCTGATGTATTACGATGTTAGTCCTCCACCTGATGGATTCCGATATTCATCTTTAACCTCATGGATTTCGAGGTTCATCCTCAGCCTGACGAATTTATATGTTCATCCGCTATCTGATGTATTCATATGCCCATCCTCAACCTGATGGATTCCGATTTTCTTTTTCAGACTGATGTAGTCCGATGTCAATCCTTAGTCTGATGTACTCCAATGTCAATCCTTAATCTGATGTATTCCAATGTTCATCTTCCACCTGATGTTATCCGATGTTCATCCTCCATCTTATGGATTCCTATGTTAACCCTTAACCTAATGGATTTTGCTGTTCATCCTCAGCTTGATGTGTTACGATGTTCATTCTAAGTGTGATGGATTCAGATGTTCATCTTCAGCCTGATGTATTCCGCTGTACATCATCAGTCTGAGGGATGCCGATGTTCATCCTCCACCTGATGGATTCCGATGTTCATCCTCCACGTGATGTATTTCGGTGTTCATCCTCAAAGTGATGGATTCCGATATTAATCATTAACCTAATTGATTTCGATGTTCATCCTCAGCCTGACGGATTCGGATCTTCATCGTCAGACTGATGGATTCCGATGTTCATCCTCTACCTCAGGTATTACGATTTTTATCCTCCACCTGTTGTATTCAGGTGTTCATCCTCCACCTAAAGGATTAGGATGCTAGTCCTCCACCTGATGGATTCCGATATTCATCTTTAACCTCATGGATTTCGAGGTTCATCCTCAGCCTGACGGATTCATATGTTCATCCTCCATCTTAGGTATTCATATGTCCATCCTCAACCTGATGGGTTCCGATGTTCATCGTCAGTCTGATGTATTCCGATGTTCATCCTCCACCTGATGTATTCTGATGTACACCCTCAGTTTGATAGATTCCGATGTTCATCCTCCAACTGATGTATTACGATTTTTGTCCTCCACCTGATGGATTCCGATATTCATCCTTAACCTCATGGATTTCGAGGTTCATCTTCAGGCTGACGGATTCATATGTTCATCCTCCACCTTATGTATTCATATGTCCATCCGCAACCTGATGGATTCCGATGTCCAACCTCAAGCTGATGTACTCCGATGTCCAACCTCAACCTGATATACTCCGATGTCCAACCTCAACCTGATGTATTCCGATGTCCAACCTCTACCTGATGTACTCCGATGTCCAACATCAACCTGATGTATTCCGATTTTCATCCCCACCTGATTAATTCCGATGTTCATCTTCAGTCTGATGTATTCCGATGTTCATCCTCCACCTGATGTATTCTGATGTACATCCTCAGTGTGATGGATTCCGATGTTCATCCTTAACTTCATGGATTTCGATGTTCATCTTCAACCTGATGTATTTCAATGTTCATCCTCCATCTGATGGATTCCAATGTTCATTCTTAACCTGATGTACTCCGATGTCCAACCTCAACCTGATGTATTCCGATTTCCATCCTCAGAGTGATGTATTCCATTGTTCCTCCCCCACCTGATAAATTCAGATGTTCATCCTCAGCATGATTGATTACCATGTTCGTCCTCCACTTGATGGATTCCGATGTTCATCCTCCACCTGATGTATTCCAATGTTTATCCTCCATCTGATGGATTCCGATGTTAATCTTTAACCTAAACGATTTTGATGTTCATCCTCAGTCTGACGGATTCGGATCTTCATCGTCAGACTGATGTATTCCGATGTTCATCCTCCACCTCAGGTATTACGATTTTTATCCTCCACCTGTTGTATTCAGGTGTTCATCCTCCACCTAAAGGATTACGATGCTAGTCCTCCAACTGATGGACTCCGATATTC